CTTCCTTCCTTCCCTTCTTCCTTCCTTCCCCTCTCTCTCTCTCTCTCTCTCTTTATTTATTTATTTATTTATTTATTTATTTATTTATTTATTTATTTATTTATCTTTTTTGGTTTTTCAAAACAGGGTTTCTCTGTGTAATAGTCTTGGCTATCCTAGAACTCGTTTTGTAGACCAGGCTGTCCTCAAACTCACTGAGATCCTCCTGCCTCTGCCTCCCAAGTGCTAAGATTAAAGACATGCACCACCACTACCCAGCTACTTAGCAAAGTTTCTAAAGCTCCTGGAATAAAGTTAGAAATACTAGAAAGGGCCTGGATGTTTCAGTTTCTTCTGTGAATAACAGTGAAGGTGGACTCAGAGAGTAATTACACAAGCAGTGTATTAATTTTGCCAGGGTACCCCAGAGACAGAGAGACTTTTATGAAATGTGGCTTTTTAAAGCTGGTAAGATTGAATGCTAGATTTAAACATAGCTATGCTTTTCTTTTTTAATTCTCTCTGCTCTTTGCTGGGAAGGGAGAGAGGCAGAAGGAAGTGGAATGAGGAGTAGACGCGACGTTGCTGCCAAGAGGAAGGTTCTCCATGAGTGTCATCACATGTGTTACTGCAGCAATCCACGGGTGGATGAAAAGCAAACATCTTGGGGCTTAGAGAGAGTCTGACCTGGACTACTTTTAACTTCGTAATTCATAAAAATAGAATGGTTTCAATCGGAAAAAAGTGTAGTTTTTCATTAAATTTAATAAAAGTCTAGATTTGAGGCATCCACAGGCTGACATTGTAGCCTCAGTGTCCAGAGAGCTCTGTACCTGTGTGTCTTTCCCTGTGTGCTAACACACTGTCCTCACAAGGTTGCTTGTCGGCCAAGGTGGCTTCGGAGGCACTAGCCCTCGGACCCTGCCTTGCAAACTGAAGGGAGAAGGGAAAGGTCTGAGCAGGTCTCAGCTAGCTGCAGCCAGTTGCCTGTAAAAGCAGCTTGGCTGCAAGCCACGTGATGGTTGTGCTGGTGCAGGCAGGCTTGGAAGTTTGGTTTGGATGATCCCATTTCCAGCTGAAATCCTGGTTTTTGAAGGAGGAAGGAGAGATCCTGGGATAGAAGACACTGGGAGGTTTTCTTTACTATAGTGTACAATAAGATTTTGACCCGATGGAGCACACTGAATCAGTCATTAGTTACTGCTGAGCCTTCTGAGCCTCACGCATACGCAAGACAGAAGTCAGTCTGCCTCCCTTTCCCGGTTGGCACAGTTACAGTGGTCGTTTGGTGGCAGTTCAGGCTCTTTGTATCACCTAAGGATCTAAGCATTGGAGGAATGGTGGTGAGATCCTCTGCCCTCACAAGGAAAACCAGACTCTGTGCCTACAACTGGGCTGTCTAGTGCTCCCGATAGGATCACTTCATTTTAATAGGAAAGTGAGACTGTTTACACAGCCTCACCCATTCCAGGGTACCTTTTAGAAACAGAGTACTGGATCTGATAGACCATGCATTTGAACCCATGGTGGTGCTTGGGCACACTGTTGAGGTATCTGTTTCCTGTGTCCCATGGATAGCTGTGTCCTGAGCAGTAGTACAAGGGGAGGGAGGAAATAGAGATTATCAGGAAACTGTGGAATCAAAGCTGAGAATTTCAGAGGCCCATAAAGAGGTTCTTTAAGAAGCCAGCTTCTCTATTCTGGGCCCAGTTCATTGGGAAGAATTTCAAATTCCTTCCATCATTCTTCTGCCAGCCTACAGAGTATAAGGCACAGTACAGGAGGCTTAGCCCGGCATCATGTTGTCTAATAGATGTCTTGGGGGAAAGGGTAAAACCTCTAGATAAACTGGACCATTCATGAGTTTTTAAGGACTGTCTAGCTCTCAGAATTCCTGTGGTAAAGATGTGGTTGTTCTGCAAAGTCAGTCCCTTGGTTCTGTATAATTCTATGAAATCATGAAATCTGCTGTGAATGCCTGCTTCTATCAAGTGTGCTATGGTATGATTGTGAATGGTCCCTCACCAGCTCAGTTGTTTGAATATCTGGTCCCCAGACGGTGGTACTCTTCTGGTAGGTTGCAGACATCGGACATAACCTGGCAGGTACCGTGTTGTAAGATTGGGTGAAGAGGGTTGTAATCATTCTCATTCCCACATGACATTCTGAGGTGAAACAAGCCACTGAAAGCTGTAACCACTGCAGATGGAGCCTCCATTGCCATGTATACCCTGCTCTGAGACTCTGAATTAAAACATATTTTTTTTCTCCTGAGTTACTCCATCAAGTCCTGTCCCAGTGTTGAAAAGAGTCACCAATGCAGTTAGTGACCAGGGCTTCCTGCCTGGCATAGTGTCTGAGCTGTGCTTAACATAGCTTGAAGTTGGGTCCCTAAGTGCTGATTTCACGTTGGCAGATTCGTACCAGCATCTAACTGGTGAGGTCTTACAATGTGGTTCCTGGGGGAGTTGTGTGAACCCAGCTTCTCAACAGCACTTATGCTTGAACTTGTTCCTACTGTTTGGGCACCTTGTATCTAAGGAGTTGTAGGTCAGTAGAAACTTGTGGTTAAGGATAGTGGATGATCAGTATGAAAAGAGGGGAGCCACACCTTTAGCCCAGTCTGTATACACCCCAAACTGCTTCCTTTCATCCTTTGCTCTGAGCTAACAGTAAGGAGCAGAGCTGTTCTTTGGAAAGTATTCTCTGGCCACTAGAATCAGCTGTACCTTGGCCATGGTTTGTTACATAACGTTCTCCTCTATCCCTGTGAAACACTTTGTAAATGAAAACACCGAGAGCTAAGGAAGCAGTTTTTGCTCTGACCTTTTGGGTGTATTCATTTTTTGTGTGCCATGGGTAGGCACACAGTGCTTACAGGAGAGTGGAACCAGACTTGAGAAAGCACTGCAAGGAGGCTGAGTGTGTCCATGTTTCCTTCTGATTGAAAAATCGAAAACATGTTCAAGTCTCACAGCAGCGTGTGTCTGTGTGTGCATGTTAATGCGCACTTTTAAAGTGAAGCATCTGAAATTGCCAAGTGGAGTATATCACACACTGACACTTGCATGACAGCCAGCCCAGAGAAACTTGGGTGCATCACTGCCACAGTTGGTTCCCTTTTCCTTCCTGGATATCAGGTGAGTAAACATGGTCCATGTTCCTGCCACCGCCACGCTGCATCTTAAGAGAGATTGGAGTGGTAACATCTAAGATGAACCTCTGCTTTGTAGTCACCCAGGCTCTCTGGCAGTTTTGATTAATCGGCTCAGAGAGACCCATTGCAGGTTCCTCTTCTCTTTACTCTAGAAGCTGAGAATAAAAAAGTCCTCAATTCCTCAGCCTTTTTAGCGAGGCTTGTAAATGGTTTACACTTCTGGCCAAAACCATGTAAGTGGGAATTTCTGAAAAAGGCCTCTCCCATCCCTTCACCCTCCCTTCTTTTTCCTGACAACATGGGCAGAACAACTGAGTACAGTAGCCATCTTCCAGCCCTGCAAAAAACTAAACATCAAAGGAAGTTAGTGAGGCTAGAAGTAGAGGGAAAAAAAACCTAGTCAGCTGATTGTACACTTATACTCGTACATCAGTCCTGGGTTTCCAGTACCCAGACTTTATATTTCATGGAAAATCAAACATCATGCTTGCTTCATGGAGCTGTGGTTTGTCTCTTGGGCTCTTAACTTTGCTTGTTACTGGGATTTAACAGTGTTAACCTCTTTTGAGACATTGTAGGGGAGGGGCTGGGTAGATACAATCCTTGGCAGCATCACCTTATTTTGATTACATTAGACCTGTCCCTGTCTTACTGTGTTTTGAATAAGAGTAAAAATTGAAGTATAGTTCAGATTTAATGATGTCAGTGTGACATTATTTCAATATTATGTGTCATGTGTTTTGTTCAGTATTCTTATATAATATGGAATAGGATGATGTATGTATTTGTCCCTTGTATCCTTTTGTTCCTTTTGTGGCCAATATCTAACATATCAACTTACGGTAAGAAGGGTTTATCTTGGTTCACAGTTGTATGGACTTCCAGCCCATCATAGTAAGGAAAACATAGTGGATCCTCTCAATCCATAGTGGTGAGAGCATGACGTCAAAGCTGTTCACACCTGGACAGACCAGGAAGTAGTGTGACCCAGCTGTAACCTTCAAACCTGGCCCTTAGTGACCTCCTTCTACCAGCTAGGTCCCCACCTAATGGTTCCCCAGCTTCCCCAAATAGTGCCACTAGCTAAGGAACAAACATCCAAAGCATGAGCCTATGGAGAATGTT